TAATTAGAAAAGTTTTTATCAGAAATTAAAACATGCAAAGCATGATATACAATAAAACAGTGTTTGGAGTTATTTTGTCAAATAGAGGATACACTAGCCACTTTAGCTACTAAATCTTTTTTGGCGGAACTGGAGATTGAACTCAGGCCCTTGCGTTTGTCTGGGAAGCGCTTATTCCGCTGAGCCATCTCTCAGGCCCACTTTAGCTACTAAATTTAAAGATTAAAAAAATTCAGAGGGATGGCCAGACAGCTCAGTGGACTAAAGTACCTGCTTAGGCTGATGCAGGGACCAGGGGTTTGATCCCTGGTATGCTGTGCCGGCCCTGCCCCTGCCCCTAGGGCACACTGAGCCTTGATTGAGACTGGGCGTAGTGGCACATGCCTATAATCTCAGTGCTTGGGAGGCTGAAAACAGGAGGATCACTACGAGTGTGATCTGTGTAGCGAGACCCTTGTAGACCCTGTACTAAATACAAAATAAATTAATTAATTAAAATAATTCAGTTCTTTAGTCCTATTCAAGTGCTTGATAGTCACATGTTGCTAGTGGCTACTATACCAGGTAACACAAAAGAAACATTGGTAATTTATTTTTTTGCTTGTTTTCTGAAATAGGGTCTTGCTATGTAGTTCCGGCTGGCCTTGAACTATGCAGCCCAGGCTGGCTTCTAACTTGTGGTGATCCTCCTACCTCAGCCTCCAGGATGCTGGAATTGCAGGTGTGTGCCACCATGCCTGCCTTGACAGTTCTTTTGAGCAATGCTTGCTTAGGGGAAAGGTAATTTATTTTTAATAACTAGAAAAGAAAGTTTTAAAATTCACAATCTTTTAAAATTTTTTTCATGTATTTATTACAGGGTCTACAGGGTCTCATTACATAGACTGGACTCGTAGTGATCCTCTTGTTTTCGGCCTCCCAAGCACTGGGATTACAGGCACACACCACTATGCCTAGTCTCTACAATCTTTTTTTTTTTTTTTTTTTAATCCACAATTTTAAGTTTCTACTAGAAGAAACAAAACAAAACAAAAAAGAAACAATGAGTTAAGTCCAAGGGAAATTGGACTACAAAAAAGCAGCAATCAATGATTAAAAAAAGACAAGTAATAGATGAAAATTACTGAAACAGGGGCTGGAGAGATGGCTCTGTGGTCTAAAGCACCTACTTGGAACAAGCTTGGCAAAGCACAGGGACCGCGGTTCAATCCTCCAGCACCACATGCCAGCCAGCTGCGCCCCCTGGTGGGCTGAGCTGGCCACACACACACACACACACACACACACACACACACAAAATAAATGTTAAAATAAAAAAAAAATTAAAAAAAAAAAAGAAAATTACTGAAACAAAAGGTGATAATTCTTAAGACAAATTAATAAAACTTGTAAACCTTTAGTTGACTAAGAACAAAAGAAAAGACACCCAACTTAAAGCTTTTCAAGAATGAGACAATGTTCAAGATCCCACAGATAAGTACATTAACACTCCTTAAGATAATTAGAAACTATTATGCAAGGTATAGGTTTTTATACCATTCCTTAATAAAGTGAGTCAGAGACCCTTGGAGGAACTGCTGACTATAAGTTTGGGGCACAGAAGATAACAGGATGGGCCTAGGTCATTGTGTAATGTCTGAAAATAAAGAAAAAGCAAAGCAAGAGTATTGATCAGTTGTTTTAGTCTGCATTCTGATGCTATGACAAAATGCCTGAGGAAATCCACTGGAAGGAAAACTTGCCAGGAGGGCAGCATATGCCTGTAATCCCAGCACTCTGGAGGCTGAGGCAGGAGGATCACTGTGTGTTCAAGGCCAGTGTGGGCTACATAGAAACAGAGTGTAGTCTGGACTATGCTCTGTCTTAAGCAAAATAGAAACCACAGAAATCAAATCAAAACAAAGAACCAATTTTTTTTTCTTTTTTTAATTTTGGCTCATGGCTTTAGAGATCTCAGTCCGTGGTCTTGTTGTTCTGGGCCTGTGGGGGCACAGAACACCATGGCAGCAGGACTGCATGGTAGGGAGACCTGATGCCTCATGGTAGCTGGAAATGGAGCAAGGCCTTGGGGTTCCAGCACCGTCTTCCAGGGCGCATCCCGAATAACCTCAATCTCTCCCACTAGGTCCAGCCTTCTAACGGTCCCACTGTCTCCCAGGAGCCTCATCGCTGGGGACCAGGCCTCCAACACCTGGCCTTCAGGGAATAAGATCCAGATTGTAGCATGGATGTGTGTCAAATGCACAGAAGCCACCAAAAGCTTTCATAGCCAAAGGTTGAGCAATTTGAACAGTGAATTGTGTTGGAGTGAAACTCAAGTATAAAGTAAATATACTTTACTTCAGCCTCCAGGGTGGGCTGAGCTGGCCACAGATCTGGGCATGGTGGTGCACGCCTGTAACCCTGGCACTGGGGAAGCTGAAAGTAGAAAGATCACTATGAATCTAAGAGGTGTAGTGAGACCCTGTAACAACCAAATACATAAAAAAAAAAGAAAGAAAAAAGAAAAAAAGTAAAAACAAAGGACATGAATATTCATAACACTGAAGTCAAAAAAATCATTATGTTAAATGCTTTGTAATTAAAGAAATATAGACTAAAAAATCTGATTTAAATAAATGATTGAAAAAATAGAGTAGAATAGACAGTTCCCCTGGGCAGAAGAACCCTATGTAGGCTCTCTGCCCTCAAGGAGAGGGCGCCCGATGAGTCAGTCCTTAGGTAGGAACTGTGCAGTCTTCTCTTCAAAGAACACAGTATAGCAATAACTTCACAGTAACCAGCAAGCCTGCCTTCAGTCAGGTGACCAAAGTCAGCATCCGCAGTGGTACAGCATGTTGGAAATATCTGCCATGGATGTGATACAATGAGGTGGCATTCTACCTCTGTAATCTTATCCTAAACTTGTCACTTTCCAGTGTATGCATGAGAATGTCACAAGCAGCAGAGGGACATCCTACAAAGTGCTTGGTCAGTAATGTGTAAACTGAGAAGAGCCATTAAAACCGAGGAAATCCTGAAAGTGGTCACATCCTTGGAAGGAGACAGGACAACTGAAAACAGTGTTTTCTTCATAGAATCTTGGGACATAGAAAGGGCAGTAACGTAATGTGAACAAAGGACTTTACTAATAGCTAACAATACTGTTATCACTGATTCATTAATTGTAACAGATGCATCATGCTAACTTAAAATGTTAGCAGTAGAGGAAACTAGGTGTGAGCCTTCCATTAACTTTCTGTCATCCTCTCTGTTTCTCTCTTTCTTTTGTTTTTGTGGCCAGTTCAGCCTGCCCTGAGAGAGGGGCTAACACAGGACATGCCCGGGATGGAACTCAAGGTCTCTGCACTTGCATAAGCAGATGCTTTAGCCTGCTAAGCTATCTCACCATCACTATCTGTCTGTTAATTGCAATTTAGCCTTAAAGTCTAAAAACAAGATAAAATTAGAAATTCTATTTTTTTTTTTTTGATAGTTAGAATCGAACTCAATATGTAGATTGTACTTGCTAGGCAGGCCCTTGTGTTGCTGAGCTCTATCCCTGGCAAGAAGGACAAATGGAAAGATTTAGCTTCTGCTTAATCCCAACATGTACTACAAAGCTACAGTACCACCAAGGCTATCGGCTAAGTGTGGTGTTGGCACTACCTCTTACTATTGCTTCCCTTACTTCTTCCTGAACTTTTACGTCACTGATTTCTCTTATGGCACTTCACTCTAAATGGCCCATGGACCTAAGCACAAGTACTGGGAGGACAAGATAAAGAGTGAGGTGGTGTCAGCCTTAATGTAAGATGTCTTAGCTAAACTTGATGATGGGTGAAACACTTGATGCTTTTCATTTGCTGGTGAACTGAGTCCTCAGTGAAGGACTGTGAAGCTCAGGTAAGTTGCTGGTTGCCCAAGTTTGGACAGGGAGTGTGGCAAGTGCTGCTGGCACCTGTGTCATAGCCTCCTAGTCCATTTCTACAGTGGATGGTTCTGAGTAATCCAACGTACGCTGACACCACCCCTCCAGAGGCACCTCTGTGCTTTTTTCTCTTCACTGTGGCCAACTGCAAGAACCATGTGATCCTCATGATGTACAGTCCAGAAGTGTGCGGGAGTTTACACATGCAGGTGTGATCCTCAGCAAGGCAGCAGAGCTGGTGAGTGAGTGCCCCAGTGCCTTCCCCTTCAGAAAGACAATTGTAGGTGCATTCTGTGCACTCTTTAGAGATTATGGTGGAAAAAGTCCTTGTTGCTTAGAGCACTAGCCTTAACTGTGAATCATTATATTGGTCATTCTGTTTTTCTTTCTGTCTGTTAGAGACAGGATCCCTCTATGAAGCTCAGGCTGGCCTTGAACTCACTTTGTAGCCCAGGCTGGCCTTGAACTCGCAGCAATTTTCCTGCCTCAGCCTTCAGAGTGCTGGGATTACAGATGTGCGCCACCTTTCCCGGCCCCGTCATTGTCTCCTGTGACTTTTCTCTGCCTAAGATCACTTCTGAAATAAGTCACCTGTACCCACGTCCTCATGTCAGGTTCTGCATCTCATTACAGCCACCAGTAGCCCTAGAAAGTCAACATTCAGGATGGGATTCTGAAACTGGTTTGTTCACATGACAATTAGGGCTTGGTAAATAGATGGTGACAATCTTTGGCAGCTTGGACTGCTGCATCTATTAAAAGTCTTACTTGCACTGGGTTGAGATGACATACAGGTGAAAGGGAAGAGTTGGACTGTGTGACAGCTTTGAGCTTGACCCAAATGGGGCAAAGGTCTTGCCATCTTCTGACAGGTCTTGTCAAGCTGGCTGCTTTTTACAATTGCTTTAGAAGACTTGAAGGAAAAGAGTCAGGCTCACAGCCCGGGGATGATGTGTGGGAGTGGTCCTGAGGGTGCTGCATACGGGACAGAATAATTAGGCTCTGTAAGGGAGAATTTATTGTCATGGGAGTATTCTTCAAATTAGGATTTTGCATCTCAGCAAGAATACTTAGCAATGATGTACTATACAGTAGTGTTCTTATCAGTTTTAATGTGAATTTTCTAACTTGGTTCACAAGAATTGGCCAGACAACAGACCAGCTTTGTGCTCTTTGAGAATAAGAAGTCCGTTGGCAGCATCTGAGGTCACAGATGATGCACCACAGGGCTCACCTTGCACTGAGTGAAAGCAAGGATACCGAGAATCAATGTGTCAGTAACCATCTGCAGAGTCCTGGCCATCGGTGACGTAATTCTAGACCTAGTTTCAAAATAGCACAATCGCTACATGTACCTTTGCGGTGTGCACAAGGGTGTGAAATCTTCACAAACCAATTGAATTGGTCCTCAGCAAGACAGAGTTGCTGTCTTCTGGCATTACAGATTTTCTGTGAGGCTACATTTACTTGTCAGAGTTGAAGATGAGCATTTCAGGGATGAGGTGCAAAAGCATCCTGTGATCTTTCATTTTTTATAATAGCAAAGCTTGAATCCTGAATGACAGATAGTATAGTCAGGTTATTTTAAATAGCTTTATTCTTAAATGTAACAAGCTCTTATTAGAAATGCTTTGGTATCAATACAATAAAAATATGCTGGTTTCCTGCCTCCAATGAATCCCATCAAATAACTGGAAGAGGTTTAGCATTTGTTTTTCCCAGGTTTTTTTTTTTTGTTTTTTGTTTTTTTTTTGCAAATAATGACTATTACTTATTCACATGGCTGAATGTGGGTATAATTGCAATTTTTTAGATTTGAGGAAAAAGAAACAAAAATATCCAGGAGAGAAATTTGCAGATTGTTTTTAGTTTCTTCTCCAAAGAATGTTTACATGGGTGACAGCCTTCAGATCACTTTTTTCCCCAGCTTTGCCATTCTTATCCTTAGAGCTGTAAATTAAAGAAAAAAAATAGAGAATTATGAAAGAGAGCCTTAATTTTCACTCTAAATTACCATTTCATAGAATGCAGGAAAGTTGAGAACATACCTCAGATGGTTTTATCCAACAATGTGAGCATTGTTTTAGTAGCACAAAAAGACAGCAGAAACAATAAGCTATGGTTAACTTAGGGCAGGAGCAGGTTCAGAACTAGAGGGAACCTATTTCTATAAAGATTAGAAGAATTAGCAGAGCAAGCACATTGCAATCGGAACAGATATAGGATTAGTATATATTTTCACCGTTAGCCATAGACACACATTCCCATAGGTCAATGACTGTGTTGTGTATTCTGGGATACATGTATGCACTACTGACAAAAAAAAGATATTGGCACTTAAAGTATATTTATGAATGGGTTATTTCTTAGCTCATTGAACTTGGTTTTCCAAATGAGATCTGGCCTTCAGATATGCAGTGACAAAGACAAATGCACGCATGAAACAATGTCAGCTACTAATTAAGAGCTGGATTGAATATACGTGGTTTTCATTTAGCTATAGATATGCCTTTAAATGGCAAGTGTTTCCTTTTTGAGTGTATTCTGCTACTAATTATACCTGCTGTAGAGAAAGCATTCTAAAAAATGTACATGTAGAATTTATGACATCCCTTCAGTATTCTGGTCTTATGCCTTAATATTTAGGACTTCAGAGTATAGCTGCCTTAGTCATAGTCCAAAAATCGAGGTCTGCTTTTGAGGCACTGGCCTAATATTTATATTAATCGTGTACTACTACATTCATGTGTAATATGGCTCAAGAATCAGCTACTTATCTAATTGCACAAGTTTGTTTAGTGAGACAATGACAGGGAGGCCCCATTCTCGCCTTTCTATGCCACACATTAGTTATCTGTTATTAAAGGAAATGACCCTGTCTCTAAGAAGCTGGTTTGTACCAATATGAGAAGAGGTAGGAATCCAGTATTGTCATAAGTGCATGACCAGTGTTATTGTCATTTTACTTATAGGAAATATTTTCATTTTAGTGAAGCTAAAAAACAGCAACAGGATCAGAAATATTTCTTTGCACTCAAGACTGGCTAAGAGAATTTGCTTTGATCTATACTAAGCAGGAAGGCCCCTCTTGCTGGGAATGTTGTGTGGTGAGCCCTGGAGAGAGTCCTGTCATTCCACATGAGGAGGTAAACAGGAGGCAGAAGGCAAGGCTGTAGGGAGCTTCTACTCCTAGCAAAAGCTGGAGTAAGTCTCTGAGGAAAAGGTCTATTTGAAGGCAAGAGCAAAATTCTCTCTCCTTGCTACCTCTCATTCTTACAGTTCCTCTTCATTTCTACAGTCACGCCTCATTTTGAGATTCTGTAAATCAGGCACACCTGTGCACCATGACGTTGGGTGAAGTCTGTAAGGCTCTGTTTTCTCTCTCTCCTTTCTCCAAGTCTACAGCTAGTGTACATGAAAGGAACTCCACATGCATAGGATGAGGACCGACTATGGCGGCAATGAGGTCCAATAGGTGTAGTGGGAGAAGAGCTTGGGTCATCACTTGCCCTTTTGGCCTCTTTCCTCTCCTCTGCCTCCTTTCCTCAGAGCAATTCAGAAACATGGTTTTGGCTGCCCAAAGTCCTTGCAAAAGAGAGCTTTTCTCTTCCAAGTATTTTTTGTCCCCTATGGGCTGACAAGATGGGTAATATCAGCGCCCATAGCATGAGAATCCTTCAGAGCTGAGGTTTCTCATATCTTCATCCTGAAATACCACTGATAGACTCAAGTTAGATTTTCTGGAGCAGAGAATCAAGCTAGATGTAAAAGAAGAGGTGTGGGAGAAGCACCAAGGAGAGCCAGGTGTCTACTTGGTGGTGGATGGAGGTAGTGGAGGGATCCCCCAAAAAGCTTACTGGAGCCCCACAAAGGTGGAAGGGTTAGCACTGAGCTACATCTTAGAACATGACTGTGTGATAGTTCATTAGCACATGCCCGCAAGGTTGCTGGTATTTTCCTGTCATATCTTGCCTACTAAAAACTTTAACTAAATATGTTTTGTTTTTAGAATCCTCAGGCTTCATATTTTTCTATTTTTCTTCATCTTTCCTCTGTTTTGCAAATTAAAATGTAATTTTAATTTTAATGCTCTGGCAAGATACTTTAGACTCAGCAGTCTAAAGTACCTGCTTAGGCAAGCTTAGGCAAGAGCAGAGGTCAAACTGACAAAAGTTCTACAATGTGAGGTACAGGATCTCAGGATAAATCCTGAGGGGATTTCACTAACCTTATCAGACCCAAAATAGGTCTTGTTGCATAGGTCCTGCTTTACCTTGGTCTTAACCATCCAGCAGAAAAATATAAAAATGAAATAGAAGAAGTAAAGCCATGCTGTTATGTTGAGCTGTAGGGGACTCAGGTCAACAATTTCTGACATTGCCAGTCAAGTGGAAGACCCAATACTATTATGGGCTACTGGACCCTCTTAGAATATTTTGCTGAGTTTACACACCTATAGTATTCAAATAACAAAACTTAACAAAAAAGGGGATACAGATGAATGTCCATTTTGTATCTGTGTATTCAAAGTGGTTAGGATAGATATATAGTTACATTTTCTTAATGAATGGGGGATTTGTTTTAATAGTGTTTGTAAATAGGATATCATGTCCGCATCTTGTACGGCAATTAAACAATAGGAAGAATGTATGCAATGTGTCACTTATTGAAACTGTCCTACCAATTTAATTTGAAACTGTCTCATTGCTATTTGTTCCTCAATAAAATCATGGAAAAAAAAAAGCAGGGGTTGATCCCCAGCACTGCATGTCCCACCAGCCCTGCCCGCAGGGTGGGCTGAGCCAGCCACACACTCAAAAAGTAATTAATTAATTAATTATCCTTTCTTTTTTTATGTATTTAGTACAGGTTCTACAGGGTCTTACAATGTAGCTTGGACTCCTAGTGATCCTCCTGTTTTCAGCCTCCTAAATGCTGGGATTACAGGAGCAAGCCACCATGCCCAGTCTCAATGTGCTCCCTGGGGACGGGGCCAGCATGGTAAGCCTGGGGATCGAACCCTGGTCCTTGTGCTCTACCTAAGCAGGTGCTTTAGTTCACTGAGCTATCTGGCCAGTCCTATTTAATTTTCATTTCAAGAAAAATGAGACTGACAATTTTTAAATAGGCCAGAACTATTCATATTTAATAAGAGACATTAACAAAAGAATTAATTTAAATAATAAGTTTTCAAATATCAAACATTTTTTTGTGAGGGGACGTGGTGAGAAACTCTATTTAGTTTGTGCTTGTGAAATCGAAGTACATAGATGGCTGTGTGGTCTACGTATATGGGGGCCCCTGGGAGCACACGACAATATGATTACTTTTAAAACTCATTTAAACAAACATATCTGCTTTGCAATCCATGTGCTGAATGGGAAAACAAGGATGTAAAACAATATCATGATAGAAGGCAAAGAATTTGGAGTATTCTGTTTATAAGATACTTGGGTTGATAGTACAGAAACTTGTATTGTTATTTTGGAGGAGGTTTTTCCTGTTTTCATTATTTTAGTTCAGTGGCATGATAAGTGTTGTCTGAAAAACGTTAGTCACTTCCTGTCATTTTTCTTGGGGTAAATGTGTTAGGGGTAAAGGAATAAGCATGTTTGGGAGGAGCTGGCTAACATGCAAGTTAAAGAAGGTTTTATACTGTATAATGTCGTTGTTGACCATAAACAATATGTTTCTCTTTCCTAAGTCATGCTGTTTTAAAAATGAATTTAAAATGCAAATTCTGATCAGCAAATAAAGCTCATACTCAAAACTAGTTTGTACAGTTTTCCTTGGTGAGGCATGTTGCTCAGCTCTGATTGAGGAAGTTATATAAGTAGACACTTCCTAAGAAATTAGGAATTCCTCAGGTGATTACACTTACAATTAGTACGCCCAATTTAACTGCTTACAAGAATGAAAAAAGGTCTATTTTGTTTCATTGTTAGCAACTGAAGATTGAGTTTACAGTTTTCTGAAGACAAAGCATCTTGATTCTTACAGATACTCTCATACTTTATAGAATTATCAGGTTCTATTTTTTAATTGGCTGGTAATTACCACATATTGCTCTTTAATGATAACTGTCCACATAAAGATGTTGAAAATTGTTATCTTTCACAAACATCCAGCATCTTGAGCTAAGGTAAACAGACCTATTTTAATTGCTTTTTGTCAAGTTTTTATTTAGTTTCCTTAACATTATAACTAGAACATGATCCTAAGTGATAGCAAGGTATCTAAAATTGAGGAGCTATCACTTTGACAGAAAAAAAAGTTAGTTATTTTTCAATCAACGTTAAAATAGCTAGCTAGCCATAAAATTTTTTATAGGAATGAGAAATTAAAATATATAGAAAATACAAAAAATAAATATGCTAAAGTAGAGAAAAATATGCAAAGTTGTGTTATAGAAGATCAACTGACATTCTATTTTTAAAAAATGTAGAAAAATTAAGGTCATAAAGTTAATAAAACTATGAAAATACAGAGAAAAAATATAGCAAAGTAATAAAGTATTCTAAAAATAATATTTGTTCCATGCATGCTCTGGTAAAATTAAGGCAATTTGTTAACTTATGTAGAAAGCCGAAATCACAGCCAGGCACAGACAAGTCATCGTCATCACATTCTGGTGGGAAAAGATACCTTATTGATGATCCAACATACTAATAATCTAAATACATTCATACTCAGGAGTGTATCACAACAGATGATGCATCTCAGGTTACTAAGGCCAATCAAGGCAATAGACAGATAAGGCAACAATTTGTTTTCACTTTCTTTATCTTTGAAGTAGCTTAATTACTAGGGTGGTCATTGGATCAGCTTGAATAAAAACCTCAGCATGTGTTAGTTTATAAGGTGGTCAAATAAGCTGAAAGCAAGAAGGTTCATTAACATGGGAAGAGGACTGTCACATGACTAGACAGCAATGACATGCCTTTTCATTTTTATTACCTGTTAAAGATGGATCCTCAGTCCCATCTCCAGCTACTGGAATGTCAATTGGAGAGTTGTGGGCAGGGCCACCTAGGCTTTCTTCTTGTTCTTTAAGAGATATGGAATTTTTGTGGGGAGATTTCTGGTTTGAGTTTTCATGAGGACTAACTTCGGGTCTCTTTCTAGGAAATGGTGTGGGTTTTGGTGGTTGGTAAACCTGGCGATGGGGGGCTATGGGGTGGTAGGACAGCTGTTCAGCTCTTCCTTCCTCCTCCTCTGTCTCATCATCAATCACAACGAGCTCAGCGTGGATGACCCCATCATACCCTGTGAGAAGTTTTTTGTCTTCTTCATTGTCCTCTGCCTGCTGATACCCCATGAAAATCATGGTCACAGGCTCTGAGTTATCCATGTCAGAAGGCAATGAGTGGACAATATTATATCTAACATCTTCCTCCTCTTCTTGACAGATAGGTGAGGAACACTGGGGTTCTGACTTCCCAAGTATTGTTTTGCTGGGGCTCAGTCTAGCTTCTGGAGAGGTTGCATATTTGTCCTGAATGGCACTTGATTCTTCCCTAGGAGTCATCAGCAACTTTTGTGGGGTATGGGTCCTCTCTTCTGCCTGTTGAGTCACTGAGCGGGGATGAGGTGTTGGCTGAATGGGACTGATACGATCGAAGCTGTTGGTCCTTCCCTCTGAGAGTCCATTGTCCATATTGTGTATGGAGTCATTAACGTCATCATTCAGCCCATTAGCTTTAAGCTTGATCTTTTCTTGGAAGTTTGGTCCAGGTGTTGCCTTTTCTCTCTGTGGAGCTATGGGCCTGCAAAATGGATTGGCATATACAGGCTCATGATATTCTGTTGGAGATTTGGAGTTTCTCTCTGAGGCTTGCCTTAGAAGTTCTTCTACCTCAACTGGAGCCAGGCCATCAGAGCCATTGTAGGGTGAACTGTAATTGGAGCTCACTGCATACACTGACTTTTGTCCATCATCATAAACTTTGATTCCTGTACCTTTAAAGTCTTCTGATGGGAGAGGTATTGAAGACAGAACTGTGCTCTCCCCGGTCTTCAAGTCTTTTTCAACTTTAATTTCCATGGCATATAATGCTGTTAAGAGACAAATTTGATCTTTGAATTAATGAAATTTCATTTATAAACTGGCCCACTTTCATGGTGTGTTGTACTTTTTGGTGTTTTTATTCTTTTATGTGAGATTTAAAAAAATGTCTGATTTTAATTATATAGCACTGCAGGAACACTGTAACATCATGAGTTTTTAGGTAACAGCATGTGACATTTTTGAAAAATGTTGAGTGAAGGAAAGAAGCTGACAGGTACAGATTCTCCATGATGAATGTGATCATTCTGTATGTCTCAAATGTACCAAGAAACTGATGCATTCAGATAACAAAACTTCATGGAAGAAATAAAAGATAAATATTTGCTGATAATAAGGCCTACAAGGCAGATTTACACTCTTATATTACTCAATGGGATGAATCTATCTGTGGGAGGGATAAGTTAGAGTGGCTGAAATACTTAAGACAGTACATTTTTAAAAAATTTATTTTATATTGTGTGTGGCTGGCTCAGCTTGCCCTGGGGGTGGGACTGGCATGACATGTGGTGCTGGGGATCAAACCATGGTCCCTGCGCTTGCCTAAGTTTGCCTAAGTGGGTGCTTTAGACCACGGAACTATCTTGCTAGCCTTGGACAGTACATTTTATTAAGTTAACATCCTTCTTACACAGACCAGCCACCTGTTGAAATAATACAGGAGGGTTTGAAAGTCTATAAATAGAACTGGTACTGAAGAGGGAGGGAGAAGGCTAAAATCATATACTTCTCTTTTTGCCTTATGTTTCTTCCCATTTTTACACCCACTTTCAGCAGCGGGAAAGCTAAAAATAAAGCAAAAATAGCTGTGCTGAAGCAACAGAACTAGAGGTAACTGGTAGATGGAGGGGAAGCTAAGGTCTATTTCTGACCCAGGCAAGATTTCTGGGGCTAGAATTTTATTTATTTATTTTAAATTCTTAAAAAATCTTATTATTTATTTGGTTCAGGGTGATGCTATATAGCTTGGACTTGTAGAGATTCTCTGTCTCAGCCTCCCTAGTGCTGGGATTACAGCATGTCCCACTATGCTCAGTTTTAGTGGCCACGGTGGAGCAGCGGGTGGTACTGGGGAATTGAACCTGGGTGCTTGCGCTGTCAAGCAGGCTCTCAGACCACTGAGCTATCTCCCTAGCCCTAGATTTTTAAAGATAAGGGATTCTGTGCAAAATTACAATGTGGCGATGCTTGCTTTTATTTTGCATGCTTTCATTTAAGAAAAAAGTCACAACTTCTCTTGTGCAGTGGTACCTTAGTTCAGGAACTTACTTTGTTCTATGGTTTTATGAAAGGTGGCCATGTTTGTGATTTTGTGGGGAAGATGGCTGCAGTTGTGTTTGTCACCCGATGCATAGTTTGCAAGTGAAACCATGTTTTGCCAAATGCTTTGGTTTGTTAACCAAATTGTTTGCAACAAAAGTGTTCGTGAACCAAGGTACCACTGTTTCTCTGATAGACTTGACCTCTGTAACATCCCTTATCCACATTCTACTTCCTTCTTCTGCATTTCAGTCCTTAATGAGATATATTTATTAATGGTTTCATCTGTGCCTTACTGAGTTTGGCATCGATATTCACTAAACATTTATGAGTGAATGAATCTTACCTGAATAGTAGCGTTTACTTCTAAGCTACAATCCAAAGATTTCGCTTCCTTTCTAATGCAAACCTTCATGTTTCCAGCAGTTTCTTTTTTATTTTTTTATGAACAGAATATATTTATTGAGGGAAAGAAAGCTCCTGTCGGAGAGAGGGACAGGAGGGGGGCCCAAGCGGGTTTTCCCCTCAGTAGCTTTGAACAATGAATTTTACAAGAATAAGTCTCCCAGGGGCTGTGGGTATAGCTCAGTGGCACCATGCCTGCTTGGCAAGCATGAAGTCCTGAGCTTGATTCCCAGTCCCCATCTCCCCTGCAAAAAAGAATAAGTCCCCCGATGAGAGTAAATAATGCCTAACATTCTCAAGGGAACATTTTCATTTTTAAAAAGATTTTATTATTGCAAAAGAGCATCTACTGGATGAAATGTACTGAAAGAGATAGTTTTGGCTAGGGGAGTTTCTCTTTGAAGAGCTTCTTGTTCAAGGCTTTATTTACTGTTTTTAACTAAGTTGGAAAAAAGAAAAAGAAAACTAAGTTGGTGGGGATTAAAATACATAGAAGAAGGATTGGCCAAATAGCTCAGTGGATTAAAGTGCCTGCGAATAGGTACAGGGGGTGGGGGTTCAATCTCTGGGCCTGCCGTGCCAGCCCCACCCCTAGGGTATGCTGAGACAGCAATTGAGAATGGGCATGGTGACGCGCGCCTATAATCCCAGCTCTTGGGAGGTTATAAACAGGTGGATCAGTACAAGTCTGATTTAGTAGTGAGACCCTGAACATCCTGTAGACCCTTCCCTAAAATACACAAAGAAAGAAGAAAAGAAGAAAATAATAGAATAGACACTGTTACCCCTTGTCTCTAACAATGCAAACAACTCAAATATCTAACAGAATTTCATAAAATGGAACATTGCTTAATCTGAAAGCATGAGATGTCTTTGCAAGTTGTAAGTATAAGACTTTGTAACATCTAAAATTGAGAACATGCTATTGAACATAGATGTCCCATGTACCTTTTCTATTTTGTTCATCATCTTCTACTCCTTCATTTCTTTCCTTCCTTAATCTGGAAGGTATGTAAGATTTTGGAAGATCAGGGATATTAGCATAGATGTCCTCAATAGACTCTGTAAAATTGACATAAAAATATATTAATGATATATTTATAATAATGGGAAATTTCATTAGGTTTATCAAAAATATTCTCAGTTAAATGTGAAATTTAGCTTCTCAAAAACATACCTCTCAATGTTTCTTCCTTTTCTATCTTCACAGACTATTAAAAAAAAAGAATTCTCCATAATTAATTCAGTTTAAAAAATAAAATCCAAATGTGTTAACACTTTGAACATTTCCATTGTATTTGCGGATTAATTCAGGAGGGAATTATGGTATAAAAATTAGTTCATACTCACTCTTATTATATCTTCTGTTGTTTTCTCAATTGATTTTAGTTTCTTTAAAATTGCCTCTTCATTGGATGAGATTTGCAGTTCAGCTTTTTCAAGATCTTGGATCTCTTTCTCAAGCCTAACAACAAAAACGATGCACTTTGTATTGCCTAACATACTCTATATGCAGGTTTTCTCAACCATATTTCCCCATTTACGAACTTGTCTTAGAGTGCTGCATGCAAGTAGCCAGGCTGCATCTAAGAACTTGGTGTCCTACTCGGCATTCAATGCACTACCACACTTAAGGTGCACGAACTATCTAACACTTGACAGAATAATTTTCAATCAAATCTTTTCTTTTGTTTTAGACACATTGACTTATTAGTCAAAGTATGTCCTTTGCTCTGCTTCCATCAGTGAAATTGTTATTATCACTGCGTTTTGGTACTAGGGATCAAACCCAGGAGTTTGCACTTGCTAAGCAGGCATTAATGTTGCTGAGCTATATCCTTGTCCTTTTGTTGGAATTATTGATGTTACTTCCAATTGAAATAGAATAATTTTTTAAAAGATAATACAAAATAATACTAATTAAAAAGTAGAAACAATACTGAACTTTATTAAACAAAGTAATACGGATTCAACAATACTTTTTATATTGCATAGTGTTGTCTTCAAATTAGTTGTTTAGATTACCAGATATAAGCATGCAAAATAGGAAAAAAGTTATAAGAAATAAAGTAGAGAAAGTAAAAAAGCATTAACTGCTCCTTTCCATATACAAGCACAAATCAATAGTACAATTATCTAAGTCATACTGCATACATACATCTTTGTCCCCCCAACAAATTGTTTTATAAGGAGATTTAAGTATAAAGTTGAAAGTGCAGGGACTGAGGTTCAATCCCCAGCACCACATGCTGTGCTGGCCCCGCCCCTGGGAGCACTGAGTTGTGGGGGCACACTCCTATAATCCCAGTGCTGGGGAGGTTGAGACAGGAGGATCACTACAAGTCCGAGCTGCATAGTGAGACACTGTACCAAATACATTTAAAAAAAAAAGTTGAACCGAAAGAAGTGATACATTTGTGGTTATGTGGTTTGTCACTTTTTTTTTCCTCATCTCTATATAAATTCTTTTCTTTTTTTTTGTATTTTAGGGAAGGGTCGACAGGGTGTTCAGGGTCTCACTACTGGATCGGACTTACAGTGATCCACCTGTTTACAGCCTCCCTAGAGCTTGGATTACAGGCGCTTGCCACCACTTCCAGTCTCAGTTGCCATCTTAACATGCCCTGGGGATGGGGCCTGCATGGCAGGCCTGGGGATCGAACCCCTAGCCACCACACCTGTTTGCAGGTGTTTTAATTCACTGAGCTATTTGGCCGGCCCTCATATAAATTATTTCAAAAAATAGTATAACTTTCAAACTTGATTTTATAATCATAGTAATTCATAATAATTTCCTATGTACAATCCCTGCACATCTTCACATTGAAAATGAGCCTATGTTAAATTTCTGAAGTTTGCCACATTCTGGAGAGTCACGTGAAAAGAAGAGGAAATGCGTAAAACACAGTGCAACAGCTTCAATTGCTGCTGTTTATAGAGAGGGCATTTTCTGGGAAGAAAGTGGGAATACATGTGCTGATAAAGAAGAGGGGAATGAGAGAGACAAACAGCACATTTGCACTAGGACTGCTGAAGCACTCTGAGCTGGTGTCTCGAGGGGCACGTAGCAAAATGACAGATTCCCGTGAGCTGCTGCAGGCATCACTGTGACCTTTATCCTATATTAAAACAGCCACTAGCAGTCATGCAGTTACTGACGCTGGCAGCCCTGGAACACACATAGTGTCTCAGCCAAGTGCACTAAGCTCCAAAGTCAGCTGCCTCAGAGGATGGCTGATTAGATACAGCAGCTGGGCCAGCAGATGACAGCTGTGGATATTCGTGTCAGCTCACATAAACGTCAGTTTTCTTGGCTGCCTTCTTCAAATGGTCATGGGCCTGGCAGCTCCAAAATCCTATATCATTGTCACAGCAATGAAAGCCCAAGATGTGATATACCTGGCCTTTCCCTTACTCATTGTTTCAGGAGTTCTGACTTTGATGTTGCCTTTGGCTGCCACAGCAGCAGGTGACCATTTATAGGTGAAAAGACTTGCATGGCAGAGAACTCTGCATGAGAGGTAGTGTCCCTTGTTTCTTAGAAGTTACTGAGGTGTGACTGCCATGCTATTAAACTGCCTCCATGTCAACAGCAGCACATTTATCTATCAGTGGAATTGTGGAGCTCTATGTTGGTCCACTCTGGTAGAGTGAAAAACTAATCAACGTGATAGTTCAGGATTCTATTGTTTCTGTCACTCACTCCTTATGACAGCCAGTACTTTCAGCATTCTTGAAGCTCTCAGTTTTTGGGGTGTGTTCAGTGAGAATAATAGCATGCACCCTGCATTACACAGGCATTTGGTGAAACTGAGAAGAGAGAAGATGTATAAAACCATAGAGAATGTGATTGGTCTAAATTATGGAATACATTTTCAAGCTTTCTGAAACTCCTGCTGTCCCCTGTCATGCAGGATTTCTTCTTGATATGAATATTATAGACAGTCTACAATGGGGACTTTTGATAGAAAACAAGGGGGATTCAGATCAGTGCTACAGACAGCCCTTGAACCTCAGGACACACCTTTGGAATAACAAAGCAAGCACTGAATTCCAGCTTATTGGCTATTTTCTTGTGTGACTCTAAATCTTCAGACTTCACCAAGCCTCATTATCTTCATTTATTCATCAATTCATTTAAAAATGTTTTATCATCCACCTTTATAAGGAACCATTCTATGTGCTAGGGACACTACAAAGCCTCTGTCCTCAAGGAGGAGATAGAGTAATGCAGGAACTGGAAACTTGCTATCTGAGGCCAGATACAAAATGTTTATGCTTTGCAATCCATATATGATTTAAGCTGTCCATTCATTCATTAATTCATTAATTCATTCATGCATTCATTTTTCTCCTTTCTTTCTGCTGTATAATCCTCTAATGATATAAAAACCATGTGGTGGTATGCAGCTGTAACCCCAGGACTCTGGAAGGCTGAAGAAATATTGTCACAAGTTTGAGCCCAGCCTGAGAAACTTAGTGACTCTGTGAAACTCTAAAATGAAAAGGCTGGGGATAGAGCTCAGTGTGAAGGTCCTAGATTCAAGCCTCAGATCTGCGCAAAAATTATATATGTTATAAAAATTATATATATTATGTGTGTACCACACATAGTATACATAGAAAACATTTTTATTTTGTGTGTAAAAATACAGGCCAGGGTTGAACACTTGGTCCTGGGGCACAGTGTGCCAACCCCTATATTACTAAATAAACAGAGATATATATATGTGCATATTATATATACATATACATCTTAGCTACTCTTCTCTCTTTGCTGGTACAAAATACCCAACACCCAAAATTAAGAAAGAAAGGAAGGGTTCATCTAGCTCAGTTAGTGGAGATTTTAGTTCATAATTAGCTGGCTCCAAGGCAGATAGGCACATGGCAGAGGGCAGTAGTTCATGGCAGCAGAAAACAGCAAAGAGCAAAGGGAAGGGCAGCAGCTGGGGCTTCTAGCAGGCCTCTCTCCCTCCTTATATTGTCATACAGATTATCCACCCCAGGGCAGAGGTAGGATTCATACTCTTAATCCTTGCTTTGGATCATGAATTATTCCCAAATCTGGAAGCCACCCCATTGACTACATGAGGCTTTGGGGTGATGCCTAGATAAAAACAATAACAGTACAAATATATATATATATATATATATATATATATATATATATATATATGTGTGTGTGTGTGTGTTTCCTATACATATATAGTGGTCCCTCACTTATCGCAGAGGGTATGTTCCAGACACCCCCACGATAAGTGAAAATCAGTAGCGACATTATATTTACTTTAGTATTTATATATATATTTTAAAGCTTCATAAACCCTTCCCACACTCTTAGAAACCTTTTCCACACTTTTAAAAACACTCATAATGGTTTTTTACCATTTTCTAAACTTGTAAACCTATGTAATTTTAACATCATTCATGTACTGTACAGTACTGCAAAATCTTGCGATGTAGTGAAAAATCTGTGATAAATAATTGAGATTGATATGTTTTGAAAACCTGCAAAACAGTGAGTCCATGAAAGTCAAACCATGAAATAGCAAGGGACTACTATAGATGCTTATGTGTGTGTGCATGAATATACACACATCTGCTTACATACGTGCACACAAAAAATCTGTACGTATAAACATATATTCCTTAAAGTTCTTTTTGTTGGAGTGTACCAGGCATGGAACTCAGGACCTTGTGATTGCCAGGCAAGTACTTACGCCACTGAGCTATCTCCCTAGCTCTACACATGTATTTCTTCATGAGAAGTATTTTCCAAGATAAAAGCAAAATAAGGGCTATGGACTTCAGAATAAGGGGTTTACAATATGGCCAGGGATGATCTCTCTCACAAAGTCTCCTTTGAGAAAAGAAATAAGGGTGGGACACATGAGGGTTTCCCTGGGAGAAAGTGATACAGAGTGAAGCTTAGCTACCAAGCTTGGAGGAAGCAGGCAAGTGGGGAGAAGTGACTAGAGTTGCAGGGTGACCAAACCGCATAAGGCCTTGTGCATGGTAAGGGCTTTGGGGAGCCATTGGGAATTTGTACAAAAGAGAAATGTCCTATAACTTGATTCTCAAATAATCCCATTGGGTGTTGGCAGAAGAATAGAGCTGAGGGACAAAGGTGGAGATTCAGATGAAAATGGTTTTATGCAGAGTTGGAAGGACAGCAGTAAGAAGTGGTTGGGTTCTGGAAATATCCAGAAATATACAAACAGAAGACCTGCCAGGATTTCTTGATCACAGGTGGGGTGACTGCAAAAGAAAGAGATGAGAAGAGCAATTCTGATGATTCTGACCTGAACGACTGGAAATACGCAAATGTAACAGGCTGAACTGCAGTCTGGGAGAGAGAAGGCAGGAGATTTGTGGGTTATGTATTGACTCTGAGACAGTCAAGTGATATGGAAGAGATGTTGGATATAAAAATCTGGGTCTTAGATGAGTCTAGGTTTAAAG